GTGTGTGTGTGTGTGTGTGTGTGTGTGTGTGTGTACACATACATACATGCACATTCCTGACCCACTGAGTTTAGGATTGCCTGCATAGCCATGGGTCGGAAGTTATTTACAGGAGTGTAGATGACTTTTTAGTGGCTGTACTACTAAAGAAAGTGATGCCTCCTCTCCCAATTTGGTGATGTTTGAAAGAGTCTCATATTGTAGCCCAGGCTGGCCTTGAAGTTATAGCAGTTCTGTCTCAGTCTCTTGAGTTCTGAGATTATAGGTGTATAGAGCCATACCCAACTAAAGACTTTTTAAACTTCTGATTAAAGCAGATAATTCCTTATATAGATTTGATTTACTATATGACCCTTTCTCCACAGTAGCTGGGTTTTCTTATAGCTGGTGGTACTCTGGGGTCTTGGAAGTTGACTTTTCCTGTTTTACTTCTGAAGCAGTAACCTTGACCATCCTTTACATAAATACTTCCTGGATAACACTCCATTTATGTCTCCCCCGCCCCTTTCTTTGTAAAATTCACTCTTCCGCCATTCTCTGCATTCTATAGTTGATCAGGTATTCGGTTTCATTGGTCCTTGGTTCAGGTAGCTGCTTCAGCAGTACGAGAGAAGCCAGCAGTTGGTGAAACAGAACAGATCAGGAACTTGTACTCCTCCACTTCCCCACTCTTTGTTTCTTCCCACAGTATTCGAGAGTTTGGCAAACATTTGCAGTCTCCTGTCAAGTGCTGGGGTCTTTGCTAGCTCTTAAAGATTCCTAAATGAGTGATTTACAGTCTCTGCCTTCAAGGAACTCTCAGTTCACTAAGGTGAGGCAGATAAACAAATAGTTGTACTAGCCTGTTCAAGCTGAAGTAGTAAAGGGTTCCAAGGAGCTAGTTCTGGGGATAGATAGGCATGATAGAAAGTGTCAGGAAAGGACTCTTCCTGGAGATGCCCCTAGACAGGAAAGTCTTGCTATAGTAAGTTGATTTGTATTTCATCTCTTTGAACATTTAATATGGGTACAAAGTACAGGGCATAAGAAGATTGAGAGAAAACATAGTAAGAATTTTTTATTTTAATTTTTGCTTCCTGATTTTTAACCACTCAGTTCTCCTTCCTAAAGGCAGTGTTTCTTTTGTTTGTTTGTTTTTGTTTTGTTTTGCATAGCACTTGCTATCCTGGAACTTGCTCTGTAAACCAGGCTGGCCTCAAACTCAGAGATCACCTGTCTCTGCCTCCCAAGTGCTGAGATTAAAGGTGTGTACCACCCAGCAAGGCATTGTTTCTTATGCATTATTCTTGAGGTTTTTTTAGTGGATAACATACACCCCTTAAAAGCCCAAGCATGGGCTGTGTATAATGGTATACACCTGTGTAATCCTAGCATTTGGGAGGCTAAGGCAGCAGGATGGAGAGTTAGAAGTCAGCCTGGGCTACCTACCTACCAAGGTCAGCATCAATCTGGGCTACAAAGACTGTATCTTAAAAAGCTAAAATAAATTAATAATTAAAAAAATATAAATGTGCATTCAAATTTTTTCACACATTAATTTTAGAAACCTTTCATATTAACAAGGATTGGAATGCCCTGTTTTAAAGCAACTGAACAATATTATTGAGCATACTCTAACTAATTTTAACCAACCTCCTTTTTAACTTCCAGTTGCTCCAGTCTTTTCCCTTTCTAAACAATGCTCTGAGTACCCTACGCATGTATATGTTATTGCACACGTGTGATTTCTGAGGACAGATCTAGAATTAGAATCAATAGGTCAGAGAATATATACTGTTTTGGACCTTACATCATTAAGTTGCCTTCCAAAGGCATTATATAATAAAATATAAAATGTTAAGACTATCTTCTATCAGCTGGGTGGTGGTGGCACACAACTCTAATCCCAGCACTTGGGAGGCAGAAGCAGTTAGAGCTCTGTGAGTTCAGGGACAGCCTGGTCTACAAATCGAGTACACAGAAACCCTGTCTTGAAAAACCAAATACGTATATTTTGTGTCCACCAATTCTTTAAAATCCCTTCCAAAATAAAGTTGATCTCCTGAGGCTAGAGAGATGGCTTAGGGGTTAAAAAGGAATTTGCTCTTGTAACTTCCCTACTTAATGTCCTTGTCAGTTTACCTGCTTTTCAGAGTAGATTGTCAGCTCCTTGTCTTAACCTTCCTCTGAACCTCTACCAGGAGTACTCTGATTCACCTGTATATGGTAACTCTGTCCCCCTCCCCCCCATCTTACACATCATTTAGGACTCAGCCGAGCATTAGCTCCTCTGGGTAGTATTGTTTGACTCCTGATACTCATGTGCAGAACACCTAAGTCACTACCTTACATATCTGTACTCACCACTTAAATATGTACTGTGCACGTGCTGTGGTGTGGCACATGCATTTGGCATTCTTGATGATTCCCAGTTGTTGCTTTGAAGAGATGACTAAAGAATGCCTCATAGGGTTATCTAGTGTGGATGCACCACAGGTTCATTGTTGATCTGTCATTAGCCAGTAGGGCCCTGGGCATATCCTTTAACATCTTTGACTTTGAACACCCCCCCCCCCTTTTTTTTTGCATCTGCAAGAAAAGTAGCTTTAAGATCCCTGCTCAGGTCTTTTTGATGACTGTAACAGCGGTGACAGTTGAGGACTTCAATAGGACTGGGCACTTTGAGTCTGAAACTTACATCAGAGCTATTTCACAGAGGAGACTGGGGCTAAAAGCCATGAGGAGCAAATATTCGAATATAACTGGGCATTCTAACTCTCATTTACAGCCGTATAAATGTGAACACACTCCACATGTGCACAGACATACAGACTTCTCCATGAACCATTCTGTCTGTAGCTTTAAAGGCTCAAGGGTGAAGACCAGTGGCTGGCTCTGTTCTTGATTCCTGGCTAATGTTTACTGAAGACTCTCATAACTGCTCTCTTTTGGACTGAGAGAACTCATGTTACTGCTTGCAGTTATCTTCTGGGGGGAGACAAGGGTTTGAGTCAAGACTTCAGACATATATAAGTTGAGTCTAGTTAACATCTTTGGCCAAGTATCAGGGAGTCCTTTATTAGGGTTATAGATGGCGGGCCCTCTAATCTGTGTCTATAAAACTTTATGTTGCGTGTATAGAATTTTTTTTAAAGGAACTGAATAGCCAGGTGGTGATGATGCACACTTTTAATCCCAGCACTCAGGAGGCAGAGGTAGGGGAATCTCTTGAGTTCGAGGCCAGCCTGATATACAGAATGAGTTCAAGGACAGACGGGACTACAAAGAGAAATCACGTCTTGAAAAATAAAACAAGCTAGGCGGCGGTGGCGGTGGCGGTGGCGGTGGCGGTGGCGGTGGCGGTGGCGGTGGCGGCGCACGCCTTTAATCCCAGCACTCAGGAAGCAAAGGCAGGTGGATCTCTGTGAGTTGGAGGCCAGCCTAGTCTACAGAGTGAGTTCCAGGATAGGCTCCAAAGCTACACAGAGAACCCTGTCTCGAAAA